TCTCTCTCTCAAATAAATAAATAAATAATCTTTAAAAAAAAAAAACATACGTTTAAACTACTAATAGGACATGCTTCCTTTGCAGGTGGAAAACTGAGGTCCACAGAGCTGGAGTGGCATGCTCAGGATCACTGAGCAAGCGACTGAGAGCCAGGACCAGAAGGCTGGACTCGGAACGTTATCCAGGGACCGTCTGCTCCAGCCACAGCCACCCATCCCCACCGTGAGGCCTTAAGCACGGCCACTGCCGGCCCTGGGGCCCCTTTCCAGGTGCGAGAGCCCGCACACCTCTCAGGAGGTCCACGCCTGGGAAGGGTGGGGATGCCCAGGCAGTCCAGCCTCCAGGCCACTGGACCGGAGATCATGTCAGTGCCTGCGAAATCTTCCTCTCCACTCTACCTTTCTCCTTCCTGAGCGCTGACACCCAGGCCTTATCTCAGGTAAGGAAACATCCAGCTCGCAGGACTGCTGAAATGTTTCTTGGAATACAGTTGCAAGGCTCGTGTTTTCACGAAGAAAACGAAGAGGTGAAGCCACCCACCAATTACCACCGAGCTGGTTCTGAGAATGAGCCCTTATCTGCTCAGCCCCAGGTCTGGACCCAGGCTCTGGTGTCGGCCTCCCACCTGACCAATGGGACAGCCAGGAAAAGTCCAAGGCAGGGAGAGAGAGCCTAGCACACAAAAATGAAGGTGCAAAAAAAAAAATAAACATTATCAAGAGAGCTGTGGCCTCAAAGCCCTGGGCCACCCCCCACTGCTGTGCCTGAGGGAAAAGACAATGAAGCACTGGCAGATGTAAGCCCCGGGCCCGGCGCCCCACGTGAGGCTTCTGGCATGGAGGGGACTCATGACAAACTGTAGTCAAGTTCAACATGCTTGTGCAGCATCTTCCCTCAAGGGACACCCAGGGCGGTGAGCAGGATACTAGGTGCATTTGCAATCTAAATGTTAGGAAGAGTCCAATAATAGTTCCAAGCAGAATAAGAAAAAAAATTAAAGGTAACTCAGCCGTGGACCTGGAGCGGGAATGAGGGCCTGCCTGGGCCCGGCTGCTTCCTGAGTGTGTTCAGCCAGGAAGGGGAAGGAGAATCTGGGTACAAGCAAAAGGGAGGAGACATCATCCTAGGCAGGTGAAAAGAGCATCTGAAATCAGAGGCAGAAAAGTCAAAAGCACACCCAAAGCCATTAACAAAGAGACTGAGCTAGGATGGAAGTTTCTGGAATGGGTAATATTGATTGAGGACTTTCTATGCTAGGTGAAATTCTACGAACTTTATATGTATCATCTCAGTTAACCTCCACATAACCCTGGGAGGTATGGAATATAATCATTCCCCATGTAGGGATAAGAATACAGAGGCACAGAGAAGTTAAATAACTTGCCCAAGATCACATAGCTGGTAAGTGGCAGAGGTAGGATTTGAACACATTCTGGATTGAAAGTCCATGTTCTTAATCACACGTTATACTTGAAAGCGTTTGCCGTGGACAAGATGAAAAGGCTGGATTCGGTGCAGGCACTGCTTCGAATGGCGGGTGCACTCAATCCTTCTGCAGAAAAAAAAATGAAATCGTTGTCCCTATAAACAGAAAGTGAGAGCAGAGAAGATCTCAAGAACAAAGTCCAGGCAGGAAAGGGGCAGCAGCCTCCCTGCCCCTGGGAGTCCTCTGCATCTTTCACCTGCACTGCACTCCTCGTGTAATGGAAGCAGAAAGGATCCTCTCGGGGAGGAAGGTGGCCGGGAAGGGGAGCCAGAGGGAGGCCAGAGCCCGAAGCAGGAAGCAGTAAAGGCACAAACTGAATGGGAGTTCCGGGGAGACAGGAACAGTGGAGGTGCTCATGATAACAATGGAGAAGAAAGAACAAAACAGAATTGGGGAACATGGTGAGAAGAGTATGTGTTGCGGTGGTGGCGAGTTTAACCTACGGCGGACCCACCTTCCGACCCACGGAACAGGCTCACAGGTCCTCGTGGGAGGAGGGAGGCAGGCTGCCTGGTGCTGGGGCTGCCCCAGAGAGGCAAGGGCAGTCTGTCGCTGTGTCTGCGCCTGGCACCCTCTGCGTGCCTCCGGGAAGGATTCACTCGGGCCAGGGGGAAGTCTGCCCACAACTCACTGCAGGGAGAAAGACCGGACACGAGGAGAGGCCCAGGGCCCGGCCTCAAGAGCCTCCAGACTTCCCGTGTAGAAACCCACGTGCGGTTCCCCAGGCATCCATGAGGGCATTTCCCTTCCAGGATGTCATATATATTACGTTTCTCCATTCTGCCAGAACGATGGGGTGTGGGGCAAAGAAGGAGCACTTGTTCAAGGTCTGTTCTCTGCAGGCACCCCCGAGCTGTCCCACACAGTCCTCGCTCTTGCTGGGCCATGATTCTTCTTCCTCCAACGTCACAGATGAAGGATAGAGCTCCATGGTAACAGGACAAAGAGGGAAGAACCTCACGACTGGACACCGTCCACTCTTGTTTGCTAGGACAGGAGGGTGCGCCCAGTCTCACCATTTCCCAGCTGAGGAAGTCTAGGCCGCAAAACACCATGTGGGAAAATGGCAGAGTGCGGCTAGAGTCCCTCGCTCACAAGCTCTGGGTCAATGTTCGTTTTGCCTTCTATTGTTTTGAGTACACTTGTTTTTCCCCCTCGTTAGATGGCGAGTTCCTTACAGAAAAGGGGAGGCCTTTCGATCCTGACATCCCCACAGTGCCCAACACCACGGATGGCCCCGGAAGGCACGAAGCATGGATTGCTGGCTTGTTGGATGAACTGACTGTTACGTCATCTCTTTAGTGCCCCCAGTTCAATCTTCTTCAATCCACCCTTCCTGCTGCCTCTAGAGGAACCGTGCCAAAGCATTTGTCTCCGTCAACAAATGCGATCCTTTTCCTGCTTATGGCACAGCTAGGGGAAAGACCATCTCCCCCATGGAGGCTTCCCATCCTCACCATGATAATCTCCCTCTTTACCTCCTCCATGCCGCTCTGCTCCGCACTTGTGGGCATCTGCTCCACGACGTTACCCATTTCTTTAGGAGCTGTCATGACCATCTTTGTATTCTTAATAAATGTTGATGAGCGAACATGTACAGGAATGCATTGATGGATGGATGGATGGATGGATGATGGATAGACAGACGGATGGATTCATCAATGAACAAATAAATGTATAGAGGGATAAAAGGAGGGAAACACAAAATACTGGGACACAGGGGTTAAGAGGTTGTATAGTACAAAAAACAGTGAGTTCCACGGCAGAGGCTCCAAATTCTACAGAGCTGTATCCCTAACTTGCTCTGTGATCTAGGAAAAGTCACTTATTCTCTCCTGGGCTCTTTGTACTTGTGTTTAAAAAAAAAGGTTTAAAAAGACCATAATTGCTACAAGTCCCCATTCTCCAGTTCTGTGAATGGAAAGTTCATCCTTGGACAAACCCATTAACGGATGTTTGCACCTCCACCCTTGCAAACAGCCATTCTCTTCAACCAGGGTCTTATCTGAAGCCACCCTTCTCTGCCTCATCCCCACCAGGAGCTGCTATCTCGTAGGGGACCTCCTGGGGTGTTTGTGAACAAAAGCAATAGTCTTATCTGGTCAGTCTCTCACGCGCCGTCCTGCCCTTGGAAAACATGAACGGATTTGCAGAATACCTGGCCTCTGATAGTCTTCCCGTCCCAGGAATGGCTAGCAGGGCCATCTCGGCTTCTCAGAAGGATGGTGCCATTTCATGCTGCTATCAGGCCTGACATGGAGGCAACTCCTAGCCCTGGACCCTTCAGCTAAGTTCAACTTCAGGTCAAGTCAGGGGCCCCCAGCAGTTCAGAGGCACAGGATCCACAAGGAAAGAATTTCAGCACGTTGCCAGAAGCTAACAACAGTCCCCAGCTGTTCCTGGCCGCCTCCTGCCAGTAGTTTGGAGTGGGGGTCTTCACACACACACACACACACACACACACACACACAGCAGAAGGAGGGGTCAAACGAACAGCCATGCCTCTGGGCCAGGGTGGAGGGCAGGCCAGGGGGAGCGGGAGTCTTTGTTCCTGGGAGCTCCTGCACAAGGCCCCAAGACCCTGGGCAGAGAGCTCCCCATCCCGGGACCTCTGGGGGACCCTGACATCAGTTGTATGGATGCACTATGACAGCCTGCCTGTGGCCCGGAGCTTCACTCCGCAATTCCTTTTGGAGCACATGCTGTGAAGCTCTCCTAATAAATGGCTGTTCCAGAACTGATCTCCCGGGAGTGAAATTGAACACACCCACCTTAGAATGAATCTGCTTCCCCACGGCCCCCCACCGCCGGCCCCACTCATCCTCAGGTCTCATCTGTGATGAGATGTGCCGCCCTCCATAGACCAACTCATGCCCCTCCTCCCGACACACTCATCCACTTCCCCTGGGTGTGTTCCTTCTCAGAACCTGACGTGCACTTGTGCGTGTGTGTCCGTGTGTGTGTCCTCGTAATGACCATGCCCCTCAGCTGTACTTCGATCCCACAGTGACAGAGGCTGCTGCTCATTTTTGTCATCACTGTCCAGAATCCACACACTGCCTGGTACATAGGAAGAGATCAAAAAATAGTTGTTGAATAAAATGAATAGAATCATGAATGAATTCATTAACTACCAAATATAGGAGAGTATTACTGTCAGAATCCTAAAAGAGCAAACTTTGTACTTACTAAGAGCCATGACACGCTTAACACGTGGTCTCCTAATTCGTCCTTTTCTTTTTAAAAAGATTTTTATTTATTTATTTGAGAGAGAGTGTGCACAAGCAGGGGAGGGGCAGAGGGAGAGGGAGGGAGGGAATATCAAGCAGACTCCCCACTGAGCACGGAGCGCAACTCGGGGCTCAATCTCATGACCCAGAGATCATGACCTGAGCCGAAATCAAGAGTTGGACGCTCAAGGGACTGAGCCACCCAGGCGCCCTGTTAACTGTTCCTTTTCTTCAATGGAAAAGATAGAGATGAGGAAGACAGTTCTATGCTCTCAGGAATTCACGGGCTACTGGAGAACCAGATGTGGCATCCACAGACAACAAACAGCACATTCTCACTGAATCCTCCTGTGTGGGGTAAGCACTATGATCCACATTTGACCAAGAGGGCCTCTGAGGCTCAGAGACGTTAAGTTCTTTGCTCAAACCACAGAGCTAGTGAGTGTTGGAACTGGAATCCAGGTCTCCTGAATCCTAGCACAGAAGGTTTTCTACTCTCTGTCCTCCTGTCCTTTTCAACCTGGCCTGGTTTTTTCTTGCACTTGATGGGCCCAGAGCTCTGGCAACCCATACCATTTGCCAGGAGTGACTCAGAAGGACCAGGAGGTGGTCTTGCTTCTGGTCCCTGTTGCCCTGCTCCTTATTCCAGTCTGAGACACTCGATGCCAGCGACCACCCTCACCCCTGCAGAGCCGGTGTTGACACATTTCCTGGCCCAAGGCATTCTAGAAGCCTTGCAATGAAGAGGCTTCTTTGGAACGGCAGCTACCACGGAGGAGGCACACCATTAGCAAACGGCCCCTCATCTGACCTGCAGGGTTTTCAGGGCTCTGTGGATACCGCTGAAGGAAAGATGCATCAGACTCAGAAACTGCTCCCTTCCGAGCAGCGCCGGGGAGCACCCTGCCAGCCAAGCTCCTTCCCTGGAAAGTACGAGGTTTTAGACTCACACAAAACTGCCTCTGACACCGACTGTATCATTTGGGACGAGTTACCCAAATGCTTTGAACTTCGCCTTCCTAATCTGAAAAATAGACGCTTCTGGCTGTTGGGAAGACAAATCAGACAGACCACACAGGGCCATTATTGGCACTCAAGCAGCATGCGTTCTGTGACAGCCCTCCTCGTCCCCACTCTGGTCTTTATTTTTTTTTTAAGATTTTATTTATTCATTTGAGACACAGAGATACAGAGAGAGAGAGAGAGAGCATGAGCAAGGAGAGAGGCAGAGGGAGAGGGGGAAGCAGGCTTCCCACTGAGCCAGGAGCCCTATGCAGGGCTCGATCCCAGGACCCTGGGACCATGACCTGAGCCGAAGGCAGACGCTTAACCATCTGAGCCACCCAGGCACCCCGCTCTGGTCTTTAAACCTTTATTTTCCCCCCATTTCCTAGTTGGAGCCTCCTTTGGTCTATATCATCCTGTTATCTTCTGACTCTTCCTCCTATCATCAAGGTCCTGTGGTTTCTGATTGCTTCTGGGGAGTAACTCACACCTTCCAATGGTCAGCATGCAGGAGAACGCAAAAGAGTAACTCCATGTTCCCGAGAGCGCCGAGAACAGCTGAGCAGAAGAGGAAATTCTGAACTAAATGGACCACAGAGCAGAAGGCTGCCCGGTGGAAGAACGTGCGGGGGTCCTCAGAGCGTCCCAGCTGGGGCCACAGAGCCAAAGCTCGGAGGTGGGCCGGGGCAGCAGAGGAAGATGGGCTGAGGAAGTGTCACGGGGCCGTTGTGAAAGTCCTGGGTGTCACCAGGAGTCCTGTGAATGCCATCCCGTGGCTCTGGAAGGGTTTTACACATGGGAGTGAAATGACATTGTCTGTGTTTCAGCGGCAGCCCAGGTTGGCAACAGAAAGGACAGGCAAGAGAGAAGAGAAACCAGAGACTTAAGAGATCACTTAGGTTTTCGAGATGACCCAGGCAAGATAAGATCAGGGCAAAGGACAAGGAGGGTGGAGAGGAGGCAGAGGATCAAGGCGTGTGCCAAAAACACGACACACAGGGGTCGGCCTGTTGATTATGTGGGAGGCAGTGGGAACAGCGTGAAAATGCCTCTGAGGGGTCTAGCTTGGGAGGCCAGGTTTCCAGTGTCACCATTAACAGAGATTTTGGATCTGAGAGACATACCCACAGCAGGAAGAGAAAATGAGCTTGATTTGTGACACATGGTGTTGTCCAAAAGGGATGTGATCAAACAGGTCTAGAGTGGAGATAGACCCCAGGAGACAGTATGAAGGTGCCTAACCGAATCCATAGGAATGGGTAAGATCACCCCTGGGATAGAATTCCTGTTGGAAAAAAAAAAAAAAAGGCTTAAACACCAGCATTTCAGAGGCACCTGGAGAAGCAGAAGCTCCTGAGGGGAGCAGGAAGGAGTGGGCTGAAAGGTAGGAGAACCAGGTCAGGCAGGGAGGGCCTGGGGAAGGAAAGGACCAGAGAAAGCAGCCACACACGGTGGTTACACAAATTTATACAAATGCTAAAATTCACAGAACTGTACACCAAAATGAGTGAATTTTGTTATATGCTGAATTTAAAAATAAAATCAATGAAACGCAAAAAGAAAAAGTCATTCTGAGATCCTACTTACCAACAGTGAGAACCACTGCTAACATTTTGGCATATGTCCTTCTAGTCTTTTTTTTTAAGGCATTTTTTGAAATAGAATCTTATCTGCATTTAACAAGCACAAATGTGATTTTTCCTAATTTATGTTACGTTGTTTTAAAATTCCATGCTGTTCAATAAATAAACTGGTGCCAATACAGGAAGGGACGAAGAGAGGGAAGAAAGGAAGGAAGGAGAGAAGAAATAAGAGGAGAGGGACTGTAGATACTGCTGAACCCAGCAGAGGGGGAAAGACAATATAAGCCTGAGAAGAGATATGGCCTCTTTCAAATGTTTTAAATCCTACCTAAAGCTTAGAAGTATACATCCTTTTAGAAAGTTCTCTTTCCATTTTTCAAAGAAGAAGAGAAAAAAAAAAGAAAGAAACCACACCAGTTTGCTCATTTTTTTCTGGGAAGGGAGGTGGTGGCCATTGTGTGCACCCGCCCAGACCCCTCCTGCACACAGTAACATCGTCATCTGCTGGGCATGATGACATCACCAGGGAGCACCGGCTTGTAAAGGCGCCCAGACCTTTGCAATAGCCTAACCCAGGCGTGCCTTCCCCCGCCCCCTCCTCCTTTAAACACTCTACCACCCCATGGCCACAAAGAATTAAGAATCGAACACAATACCAGGGGATATTGGGGTCTGAATGCAAGTGGGACAGGATGCAATTTAAGCCTTTTTCGTAGCAAAAAATAGCAAGCTGGTATGTGAGCAGCACCAGTATGGACTCCCAGGTGCCGGGCCAGCACTGCCGCCAGTGTGGGGAGACTCAGGTCCACCCAACAAGATCACGGGCTTTGCGACCAAGCAGATGAGCATCTGGGGCTGACATCACAGCAATGTTCTTAACGGTAATTAGGTTGATCTGTTTTGCCTCCAACCGCCTGTCATCTCTCCACTTCTTTGTAAGCTCTGGACACAGAGTGGAAAAAAAGGGTGTGATTAATTAGCATCCTCAAACTTTGTATCTTCCCGGAGAGTATCTGCAGAATATAAATAAATAAGTAAGCAAGCCTAGCCAGGCAAAGCCTATCACGGAAGCCAGGGTTCTCCCCAGGGCCCCCTGGGAGAAGTTATATGGAGCGAGAGATTTTTCCTTACCCCTTTCTGTGACCTCCACATACGGGACTCCCCACCTGCTCACACACAAGATCAGGCCCTGCCACATCTGAGCCTCTGACTGTAGCTCCAAGATGGGATGTGTTTTATCCTCTCTCTTCTCCTAGCTCACCTGCTGAGAGCCCCAGAGTACATGAGGCTGAGAGTTCCCAGAGAGGGAGCTCAGGGCCCCAAACTCCTGGGGTTGGTTTCATATTAGCACTGAAACTAATATGATTCTTGGGTCTGGACTGCAGCCAAGTAAACAGATGTGAGCCTAACAGCTGCCTCCAGCAAGGGAGGAGGGCAGGACAGAAGTGGCATCGCCAAGCAAGCGGCTGGCAAAGGCCAGGATGAGAGAGAGGAGATCGGGGGACCCTCGCTACCCACTGTCTGAAGGGCCAGGTCTCCAGCCTGTAGTGCACACCCATGAGTCATGACCACGACCTCAGCCTCACGGTCGCTCCATACTACATCATCTGTGAAGCACAACGCTCAGATAATAGAAATTTCTGGCATGAAAGAAAAGGTTTGATTTGGTGAGGTAGGCAAAAATGCCCAAAATACCTAATTCCTCTTCTCTCTGCTCTCACTTAATGATTCCACTCACAGAAACTACCAAATCATCGGTGTTTGGGGTTTTATGCTTTCATTAATACAGTGTGTTTATTTAGTGCCTACTGTGGTCAGGTGGTGTACGGACCCACACCGGGAAGACAACAGCCAGGGAACTGGGCTCAGGCTCGTCCTTCAGGAGCTCGCAGCCATGGGAGGCAGCTTCATGGACAGGGGTGCGGGCTCTGGGACCAGACAGCAGTGTTCCCATCTGTCACTTCCTACCTGAGTGACCTGGGGCAGACTGCTTAACCTCTCCGTGTTATCATTTTCCTCACCTAAAAAATGCAGGTAATACTAGTACCAACCTCATAAAGCTGGTATTGAGCTTAAAGCTGGGCCAGATTCATGATAAACATTTAATAAATGTGAGCAATTATTACCATGTGGCAAGTCCTAAGGGTCTTCATCCTAGGACAGTAACTGTCTTGAACAGTACAGATTATAGGTGTTAGGAGGGGAAGAGATTACCCTGAGAGGGCACTGACTTATTAAAGCCTTACGTAGATATCATGGCAGGCAGAATAATAGTCCCAAGACATCCATGTCCTCAACCCCAGCACCTGGAACTTTATATGGCAAAAGAGATTGTGAAGATGTGACTAAGTTAAGGAGGGGGGGGGGTAGGAGATAATCTGGGATTAACAGGCAGATCCAGTGCAATCACACGGTCCCTATAAGGGAGACAGAAGGGTCAGAGTCACGAACAGAAGTGATATGATGACAGAGGGAGGGAGGAAGGTGAGGTGATGCGACCCCTTCTCCCTGAGTCAAGGAATGTGGACAGCTCCAGAAGCTGGAAAAAGCCAAGGAAGCTTCCAGAAGCAATGGAAGCCTGGATTTTAGCCAATTAAGACTCATTTTGGACTTCTGGCCTCCAGAACTATAAGAGGATAAATTTATGCTGTTATTGACCACTAAGCTTATGGCAACTTTTCACAGCAAGAGTAGAAAACTAATACAGATTTGAATAAACACAAAAGTGTATTTCCTTACAATGCATCTCTTTTGAAAGACAGCATAATGAAGCTGAAAGAGCACCAGACCTGGGGTTTGAATCCTGTGTGTCTTTGGGTAAGTTATTTAACCTCTCTGAACCTCATTGTTCCATCTCTCAAATAAAGATAATGATTTCAAGTGTTGGCTACAAAACTACAAGGTAGGCACTCAACAACTGTATCACTCTTTCCATGAAAAACACAGCGCCCTCCCCCCCCAAACAGCTGACTATTTGAAGGCTCTAGCTTTTCTGCACTTTGATTAAAGGTGTTCACTTGTACACAAATTTCTAAGTACTTGACTTCTCTGTTGTCAGAGGTTGGGATTGACCCAGCTACCCTGTGTTCGCCAGAGATAACATTTTGGGTTCTGTTGCCGGCCTACTGATAACCTGAGCTCCACCCAGCCGCGTTCCCCACCCCTGCTTGTGAGTCCGAGACCCCCTGGCTGAGAGTCTGCCCTCTGCTCTAGGTTATGTTGTCACCAGCCCACCAGCTCACCATCACCTCACCCTATTCCGGAATGCTAGAGAAAGGTCAGAACATTCACATACCCACCGATTACAAGATGGCTAGCAGACGCTAACTGCCCACACTGCACTAGAGACCGTAGAAGACTCGAGGTGGGGGGGGGATGTCTTTCAGCCCCCCCAAGTCTTTCCTGGAAGGGTGTTCCAGTAAGAAGAAAAATGCATCCTCGTTAAAAAATGACATACCAGAATTCTGCGGTAAAAGGTGGTCAATGGTCAATATTAGCAAACAAGGAAGTCTGCCTTGTAGATGTTTCCCTCTGTAAGAGTGAAGACAAGAGAAAAGTCCCCCACTCCCCACCCCTCTCCGTCTCTGCCCCCACCTCTAGCTACCAAAGGGATTTACAGGAGCTAAAGTGTTCATTCCACCCTAAACACGATCAAAGGAGAGCTAGATAGAACTCACGAAACCAGAGTGAATTCTGGGTGGGCAGTGAGACAGACAGAGGGGTGCGCCATGGGGGCGCTGGGAAAGAATGAAGGGGGGGTATCAGGGTCGAGGGGCTCACAGACGTCCACGGCAGGCTGAGAGGCAAGTTCCCTGCGGCCCTTCCTCCAGACTCCGCACACACGGTCATCCAACGGCGTGCCTTTCGTCGCAGGAATGAGCCGCACATTCCCATCGTTCTGCAGACAGAGCGTCTCTTCATCCTCAAGAGAATCTGTTGAGACAGTTCTGTCGTTCCCATAATGCAGAGGAGGCGCTGACGCCCAGGGTCAACACGTCCAAGGTCACCACTAGTCAGACCAGGCTCTAAACTCCACTCCAAGGCCCATGCTCTTTCCAGGCACTGCCCTACCGCTGCTGCTGGCCCTTGCTTCCCCTCCCCACGACGGCGTCCAGAGCCAAGAACATCTCCAGGGCCTCTTCCAACCGGCCTGAAGCCCTGGGTGGTCTAGGAACCTTGAAGCAAGCGTCGAGCTTTATCCCAGAACAAACGAAGGGCCTTCCCAAACTAGAAACAGCTGGGCCCAGCTGAGGGGCAGGCTAAGATCACCTCTCCGTGCAGCACTGTCCTTCGAGAGGAGGCCTATCCACTTCGGGGTCTTGGAAGCAGGCCAGGGCTGTCTGCACAGCGCGGGCATTGCGGTCTGCACGAGCGTGGGCCAGGGGTGGCAACAGACGCCGGACAGCTGCTGAGCGAAGGTGGCCCTGGGCTGGAGGACTGCGGAAAGGCCGTGGGAGCTCTGGGCGTAACTGGAAGTCAGGCCGGTATACACTCATCCAGTCGTCCCGGGACCCACACGGAGGGTCACAGGATCCCAGGGCACCCAGTGTGTGTGGCAGGCGCTGCGCTGTGTGCTTTCCTGGGTGCTACCTGAGACAGTCAGAGAGCTCCTTCGGGTCCAGACTCTCCACCACCAGCCTGCTGCGGGCCCCAAACCTCCTCCATTTACGGCTCTGCCTGAGTTCAAGTTCAGTCCTGTCCTGGACCTTTCTCTCATGTCCCCGAAGAGACCATTTGGGGACTGCCTCTCCCAAGTTCACCTTGGTTCTAAACCTTTAGCATACGTAAGGATCACGGATCTCATAGGCCCAGATAGAAGGATGCTTACATGTTTCACAAGAATCCTCAGGTCATTTTTTAGGGGGATCGTCCCCAGACTACTCTTTGAAGGGCCACTCCTTTCTCCAAGCCTCCTTTCTCAGACCAGCCACTAGCATGAGGTGCTGGCACCCCTGCTCTCAGATCTGCTCTCAGATCTCCAGGCTGCTGCCCTCACATCCGGGCCAGCCCAACGGTTCAGCCAGCAGGTACTGGTTCAGCTTGTGAACCTCACGAGACACCTGAGAAAATCTGCCTGCAGCAGGACCCTTCTTTGACATTGGTCTTGCCTGATGGATTCTACTTTTTTTGCTTTCTGGACCTCCCCCACCAGCTCCCCTTCTTCCGTCACTTGACTCAAGTCTCTCTTCTCTAGGCTGGGTCTTTTCCCAACTTCACCCCAACCCCAGCCTTGACCCCAAGGAACTTCATCTGAGTGCACTCCTTACCCACCAAGGCTCCGTGGCCGGGGAGAGAGCCCCAAAGACCTCCACAAGTTCTCAGGCATCATGAAAATATGTGGTGTGGCAGGAAGGAAAAATAGAGCAAGTAAGTGCTTTTCAGAGCTAGCGCAGGAATTAGGCCAAGTGGCAGGAGAATGTGGATAGGTCACTGAGGAATTCCAACCTGGGAGCCCAAGTTAGCCTCCTGGAGGGAGGACATTCCTCTGAAGTGTCTGGTCTCCCTCAAAGTCCTATATGAACTGTGCTCTGCTCCATCAGAGACCTGTGTTGGTTCGAACACATCGTTCACGTTTTAAATCAGTTGTGCCCAAGGCAGATGGGGGATGGGGAGTGAAGAAATCCCTCTCGCGACTAATCTGTGTGTCTACTGCATAACTCGATTACAGAAGTTACAGGAGTAACACTCCAGCATGATGCAGACTGTCCGACCCATTCCTCAGAGATGCACAGAAGAATGGGGTGAGATGAATCTGGTTGTCGAGAGGAGGGAGGCAAGGAGCCAGAGCAGGACCCAAGCCAGTGTCTCCACGGCTCCAGAACAAACTTGGAAGGTAAAGACATAGGAGGTTAAAGGAAGCAAGGAAGGTCTCGAGGACAACGTGACAGAGACGCGCGACTCACCATCACTGTTGCCTGGAAGAGACGCGGACAGGTGCGGTGGGACAAGCACAGAACCAGTGAAGCCCAGGAAACGGACCACCTCCCACCCCCCTGCAGAAAATCATCTTGCTCAGCCCCATTTTACAGGTAGGGAAACAGGGTCCAGAGACAGGGGATCTGCCCCGAGATGTCGGCCCATGGTCTAAAGCCAAGATGACATCAACCTCGCCCTGGGTTGGGCTCTGTCCACAGGGTACCTGGTTTCCAATTCAGCATGAGGCTTCGAGGGCTTCTGTGATAGGCATGAAAGTGGTGCGGTCTGACCTGCAATCAACACCACTGCTAATGGTCTCTGCTCCCCATGACCAACCGCACGCAGCCCTGTTCTCCCGCACGCACCCACTGAGACAGCTGAGGCCACTGCCGGCCTTGAGGGAAGTGTGGGAGCCAGGAGAGACAGGAGAGCCTGGGGATGCTGAGCTGACATTCCTTTCCCTCCTCCCTTGCCTGCCTCCCTCCCTTCCCTCCTCCCTCCCTCCCTCCCCCC